TTCCAAAATAATCTATTTTTATCATTCCTTGGCTTATCCTGACTTTTTCTTACTTCATAGTGATATCTCTACTACTTCATTTTTGCTTATAATACCCTTTGCCAAAATTATTTCTTACTGGTTCCCTTTTCCATACATCCAAGAACTCTTTCCTCAAAGGAATATAGTCTCTGTTTTGTAAGAAGATGCATGTTATAAACTGGAATGTTATTTTCACAGTTTATTTAATTCAAAGATAGGACAATGAGCAGTGATTGTTAGTTTCTGATGACTATGAGAACTGGGGCCTGTTTTGTCAAGTGTCAGGGCAGTGATCAGGTATCCAGGCAATTGGTTCTTTTTGGATCTAAAGATAAAACACACACCAGTAAATAAAGGCATTTTAAGCTTTATTATTAGCTAAGAGATGGATTATAAAGCATAATATAAAAAGCATACATACCAAGAAAGATAATACTCAGAACTTTTATAGGAGTCAGGAGCTCCTTAATGACTACAGAGATACTCCAAGGATAGCCAATTTCTATAGTACCTAGCACTAGGTTATGTGCAGAAATTCCCAACAAGCAACAACAACCCTGCAGTTTTTGTCACCATGGCTTCATGGACCTGCTATGGTCAGAAGACTGCAAGACCTGACCTTGACTGGCACATGACTCTGGGATGGAATCAAGAGTCTGAGAGTTTCACAGCTTTAAATCTTCAAAGTTACCTGAAAATTCTTTCCCCCTTTCCTTTATTCAATAAACAAGAAGAAAAACACCAAGCAGGCTAAGTCATAATGAGCTCTAAATGTCTAGTTAATAGAAGAAATCAAAATATACTTTTCCTTGGAATAACAATGGTTGCCACTACAGGACCTACTAGACAGCTGACATTCTCAGAACCTCTGTGCTGTAGATATTAAACAGGCCTTATACATTCTGGAAGTCCAAAAATGAAACTGTATTTAAAAATCAATCAATATAATTTATGAACTAACTTTTAAGCCAATGGTATGAAAAAATTCAAATAATAAACATATGACATTTATGGGAAGAAAGGAACATTTGAAGTTAACTTACATAAATAAGCAATAATAATCCATGAAAAATTAGCACATTATTCAATTCAATGAGAGAAAAATGAATGTAGAGCAGGGATGTCAAACTGCCGGCCCACGGGCTGGTTTCATCATACCGGAGCCACACCCACCCCATTGCCAGCAATGGCAAAAAAGCTCCGATACGGTGCGTGACATCACATGACGTCGCGAGTTTGACATTTCTGATGTAGAGAGTAGTACATTTATTTCAGTAAGGGAAAGGCAGCCACTACAGAGAGAAACAAAATTAATTCAGTAAGATATAGTGTAGAGAATCTCAGAGATTACATTAGAGAAGCTATGTAGAGATAATTGCAACAACATGTAAATAATATACATTAAGCTCAGGAAATAAACAAAAAAAAAATAGGAAGAAACTCAGTTCCACTCTTGGGATATTAAAGAGAGAAAAGGAAAATACAGTCATACTTCCAAAATCCTGTTATTATAGCTTAAGAACTTAATAACTTGGGGAGTCAATTTCTTAGTCTGATCTATCTGAAAGGGCTGAAAAAATAAAGACCTTGCATTGTATATTGTAGATTTCTGTTCTCCTGTCTTTCCTTGTGGCAAAGAAACAATGCTCAAACAATGCGCAACTGAAAGTCAGTTTGTTGATAATTCAAGTGCAGATTGCAATACATCCATTATTAAAAATAACTTGAATGAACACATTTCTATGAAATCGAGGAGCAAAGTTCTGGATTGTGCCAAATGTCTAGATGTAAAATATGGAGCCATGTTTATTTAATTATTATTTATAGAGGTTGCCTCATATAATTATCCTATGCAGCTTACAACAATAAATAAAAACAGATATTAAAACAAAATCACTCTTGTCGCTAGCACCAGACCAAACAGCTTCCCAGCTCAATACTTTTGTTATTGTACCTTATGGTTCTGGTTCCCTGCAATGCCCTGAATTGTTGTGGTATAGAATAAACAAACTGGGACATTAGGACAGAAGTAAATATATTTGGAAATATTTAGAAACTACATTTTAAAAAAAAGAATTAAGCTTTCCCTGCATATTTAAATTCTGCCTCCAAAGCTAACAAGTATAATAGCTGTAATATACTACAAATATTTTCATCTTTTGCCTGCACATCATAGTAGAACTAAGGAACTAAACAAATAAGTAGATTAACGATTGCTGCTGGCATGTTAAATTTGGCAAGTGGATATAATTGAAGAAATTACTTGATAAATAGTTCATCATTTTCCATGTTAGATTTTGCATATAACCTCAGAAATTAAGATTCTCCTTCTGTGAAATGACTACCAAGCCTTACAGAACTTACTTTCTGCTAATAACATTCTCTGACCAGTCACCTGGAACTTTTTTCTTCAAAAAAAATTGTAATGGAACTGCAAGACTGAATGCTACACAACCCTTTTCTTTCAGGTGTTATGGTGCTGAACACAGGGTTCAATGCCTTCTCTGTAATCATAGCTTTTATGGTGAAAACAAAAAGGCTGGGAGTGCTACTGGAGTAGAGGCAATCATAGATTATTATTAATAGATTCCTGACAACTTTAGGCTATAGTTCTAAAGACACAACTTAGAAGAAGCCTGTCTTGCTGTCTTGTAAGAATCTGTGCCATGAGTTAGTATATGTACCCCATGAAGATACCCCTCCCTCTTGAAACTAGTACTAATGGTGTAGCAAAATGTGCCTTGGATCACCAACTTGTGTGATCTATGTTACCCTTTTTTATATTGGACTTACCTTCTGGACTCATCTTCATCAGCAGGACACTACTATCAGGAAAACTATAAGCTATTTCAGTTAAGGGATAACTAGCAATAACAGATTAATGGTTGACAGTCAGGGACTTAAACACAGAAATGACTTAGCAATGTTGCCTGGGAAAAAAGCAGTAGGCAACATTTGTCTAGATATGAGAACTTCTTGTTGAAAATTGTGGTTTACATTGGAGACTGCTATAATGTGAAAAAGCTGTATTCCATTTTCCAGACACAGATATTAATATGAATCTTGCATGTTGCCCGTTGTGAAAAGTTTGCCACCTCAGTCAGTCACATGCATGCCTGTGAGTTCATATGGGTAATCATATTGACTTTGAGCATTTTGATATGTCTAGGCTGTAATAGAAATTTTATTTATAACAGTGGCCAACATGGAAAATACATCCATTACAGGGCTCTGACTCACAAGTAATCTTTTTGCAGCAGTGGGTGGGTGTGTATGCCTTATTATTCTCAAAATCAATGATCCATGGAATATGCTGCATGTCTTGGCAAATCAATACAAAAGTCCAAAATACAGAAATGTTTCACTTATGTAATGTTTTGTGAAATGATACTATACACAAGATATATTTGGTAATTGTGAATGTGTCCATGATTTTCAGTTAGTTGCTTGAGGAAATAATGCCATTGCTGTATTAGGACTGTTAATACATCGTCATTTAGTTTTGTTCCACCTTACAAATCAGTGTTGAGCAATACATATGCCCAGTTGACAACTGTCACATTTTGATCAAAGTGTCCTAACAGGTCTAACTGAAACACTGTTTAAGAGGACCAGAACATTCTTTATCGGGTGACAATTTATAATTATAGATATTTCATTATTTTAGCAATAGCCAAGTCTTGCTTAGCAAAAGATGGGTTGTGAGCATGTCCCAAGGTCCACATGGAGCTACTAGCATAAAGATTAAACCACAACTTTATAAAATAATGTTTTATGATAGATCTCATCCTATGATGCATGACATTCATAAGAGGTATAATTTATGGGCTTTCCTCACTTTCACAACTCCCTTGCCTGCATATTGTGTTGCTCTATCATGCAGTTAAGAAAAGGAAAAGAAAAATCATGTGTCTAGATGTAAATCACTCATGTGCTTTTAAATTGATGGTTCCAATTTTAATGTTTAAATCAAAGTTAAGCATCCTGTTCTGTTTCATGGAGATAGTTGAGAAGTTTATGCAGTATCCAAGTATGGAAGAGAAGTTTGTCTGTTCAAAAAATGTCTACTATAAATGTGAAAAGTCAGAAAATATTATTTGCTAAGAGTGCTGTTGCTTACCAATCACCATTCCTAACTTCCTGCATTCCCAGTTTGTTTCTTAGTTTGTAAGGTTACATGTCTGGGTGTGTACAGAAGCACAGTCTCTCAAAGAAAGCATTACTCTGCAGCAACTCGCCTTTTTAAAAAGTCTATGGGGCAGATGTATGTGGTTCAGAAGTGGTAAAGATTTTGCAATGGTCATGTGATTTATTTTATAGCATAGTAACTTTTTTTCTTATGATATGAAAAAGCAAAACAAGTAGCCTGGCAGACATCAAGACAAATGTCCATAGTGACTACACTGCTTAGCTCTGCTTAAAGTTGGTTTAACAAAACAGACAGACATTAATATTGTAGATATCAGCATCAATTGTTTAGTTTATTTTTATTTTATTTTATTTTATTTTATTTTATTTGTACCTTTGAATCAGTTTTTCATTCTTGGAAACTGACTGGTTCCTGCATGGTTTAATATGATAGTCTAAATAATAGCTTGAGACTAGTTAGATAATTTTGAGTAACCATTTCTGTTAGACTAGTATTTAAGCCACCTCTGCTAACCTAACATGCCCTACAAATGCATAGTCTTAGGCTTAGATTACATGCTTACCATGGCATGACCCTTAAAGGTATGACTCATAATGTCCTAGACTCAGCCAGCTACAAGGTGAGAATTGGATAATTCAAAGTCAAGGGATTTGGGGAGTTAAGAGCAACTATTCAGACAGAGTGGCTCCTAAAGTATGCAGAAGAGCACTGCATGTTGTGATTTCATCTAGAAAGCTATCTTGGAAATAGTTTGGAATTCTTCAGAGGGAGATCTGCACACATGGACAATACCTGTCAGTGATGAACAGTCAATATTACTAAGTAGTAACTGAGTTTGGGTTTGTTACAGTTTAGATGTCAGTGGCAAAGACTGGCCCACCTATGCTGTGTGAAACAATCAGAAGGGGGAAAGTGTTTGGCATACTTTGTGATCGGAGGGAAGGCAGTTGCCAGTGTTGTCCCCTTCCATGGTATGAGGTATGGCAGTCCAGAGAGGGATGCAGAACATACAGGGATGCAGAGAAACCTGAAGTGACCAAATGACAGTCAAAATCAGGCACTTTTGTTCCATCGGAGACTAACATGGCGTGCTAGGTGGGATGCAATATTGTGTGGGTTTGGCTACCATCACATATCAAGGAGTCTTAGACAACTTCAACTTCCCTCTGCCCTCCCCGCAGAGAAAAAGATGAGCCAATCAGAAAACTGGGTGTGTCCACAGTCCCCACTGCTTCTCTCCATCAGAAGCAGCTGCCTGACTGAAAGGAGAAGTGGAAGGGAAGAAGAAATCAGAACAGAGGACAGAGAGGCTCTCATCTTCGACTAAGGCACGCTGCCTCTGTTTGTATACAGCACGCTTTCCAGCCTTTTTCCAGCCCTCTCCTGCTCTCTCTTCATTGTTCTCTTCCCGGCGGCGGCGGCAGCGGGCGCAGCCAGTCAAGAGGCTGTCACGGCAGGCGAAAGGGAAAAGAGCGAGGCTCTCCTCCTTTTTCCCTCGCCCATCCGCACTTGTCTCTGCGAGCGGCGAGTAGGCTCGTGGCGCTTCCTTACGTGAGCTGCGCTTGGGTCTCCCAGGATCTCCTCTTTAATGTTAGGCAAGACGCAGAACCTATCAGGAAAGGGGAAAAAAGAGTGATAGAAGGAGAGTAGGAAGAAAAGGAGAGTTTTCCCTTTCTTGATCCACAGGGCAGAGGGGATTCATTCGACTAAAAATAATTTTAAGAAATAGCATTTATCACCAAGTGGCTAGATAGAAGGGCTCTTCCAGCCTTCCACCCTCCTTTGCCTGCGCTAAACTCACGCCTCTTTTTTTTCATCTACTTGGGATCGTCCCTTGGGGGACCCAAGGATCATGAACTGCTGGGTAGCCGCCTGGTTCCTGTTGTGCTTGAGCCTCGAAGCCCCTTCATTCGCCAAAGGTGAGGAGGTGGGGAGCGCTGATGGTGCGGATCGTAGGGACTAGCATGCTAGATGGTGGGAGAAGCAAGGCGGCGACCAGGGTCAAAGGAAAAGCAGCAGCTAAGTGGGTTTTTTTTTTTTTTTTTTTTTTTAAAAGTAATCACAAAGTCGACAGGAAAGTAAATCAATGCGGGGAATCTTGTGGAGAAGCGAAAGGCGGGTGGAGGGACGTGCTTTGCTACTGAAGGCTGAATAATTCAGAGCTGCCTGAACGTGGGTGTTTTCTTGTATGTATTTATTTGCCTTAATCAGATTATGTGTCATCTATCCGCAGACATGTTCCATTTAGCAATGGGAGCTTCAAGAATGCAGGGAAGGGTTCTGTATAATCTAGATAAGCAGAGTGGCAATATTGATAATGAAGCAAAAATTGTGTGTGTGTGTGTGTGTGTGAGAGAGAGAGAGAGAGAGAGAGACCAGCTTTTTCTCTAGAAACTCTTTTTACAAAATAAATCAGGCGGACAATAACTAGGTGCGAAAGATCTGGCGATATACACATCAGTTACGGATACAGTTGTAAGCTTCAATAATTATCACTTTTGCTAATCTACCTCCTGTCTTAAACAGGGCATCCTTACGATGTAGGGTGCAGAGATGGAGGAGGGAAAAAACTTCATAGCCCTCTGAATTTATCATTGCACTCAGGAAGATTAAGAGATTCAAGTATTAATTTTGTGTCTACAACGGATAAGCAGATGGATGGGTGGAGAATCAGATAAATACAGCAGACCGGCACAGATTCAGTCATTTGAATATATTGATTTTTTAGCTCCGATGCGGAAGGAGGACAAACATCTTTTACACGCCTGTATTCTGTGCCTTACACGGTTGCCTCCTTCCCCAAAGCGGCTTTAAAAAGTTGGGAGCCGCGGCTTCCTGAGGTCGAGGAAACGCTAAAGCAAAAGGCTTTGTCTGCTTGGGGGCGCGCGGGCGGAAGGATGACTAGCAAGGGGACAGGCAACCACTGGGAGGGGGGAAAGCAAAGTATAGATTGGCATAAGTTTGGCTAGCTTTGAAACAACTGCGTATATCTAGGGTGGAGGGTGTGAAGGGAAAGGCGCCATTCTCGCCCCCCCCTTCCGCGCCCCCGCTCGAAAGACTGAAGACGTGGTAAATGCCGTCTCATTGCTCGGCTTCTCAGAAAAGCTCCCTTGACTGAGGCAAGATATTTTCCCCCTATCTTTCTCCCTCCCTTTGTTTTCCCGAAGGAGACTCTCATTTCCATAACATCAATTTATTTGGTCCTGCGAGTTTTCTTGGAAAATAGCCAGCCCTGAGAAACGACTTTCTTCAGAGGCTGAGTCTAATAGAGAAATCTCAAGTTTTGTCTCTTGAGGCCGGAGGACGAATCGGTAACCTCGCTTTCCCAAATAAGAGAAAGGTCTTTTTCCTTTTTCCCCCATCTTCACACTGCCCAGACAAAATGAGGAACACTCCGGAAACATAGGGGGAAGAGATAATAAGGAATGAAGTACAGAGCGGGCCCGCGAGGAAGGCAACCTTGCGGCTGAATATCAGAAGCCTCCTTTGGCGGCCTTTCGCCTCTTGGGAGAGAGGGAAAGAGTTGCCCTTCGCTCACGTGCTCCGCTCCCCTAAGGGAGCGTGCTTGCCTTCACTTTGATCCTCCCCGCGTGCCAAGGCGCTAGGCGGGAGCTGGGAAGGAGGGAGGGAGAGAGAGGACACCTGAGCCCCTGAGATGGCGGAAAAGCGTGCGCCGCTCCAAGTAAGCCGGGCAAAGGCGCTCGGAAGAGCCAGCCAGCCGTCGAGAGGCAGCCGCAGCAGCCACCGCCCGCCGGCGTTACGCTATTGTAAAGAGCTCCGTGCTGCGGCCGCTCGCAAACATTCCCCGCCTTGGCTGCTGGCGGTGAGGCGGCGGCTCTCCCTGAAGGCGGAATCTCGCGGGCATTGCCGCACACGCGTTTTGAGGGGTTGGAAGTCCGGCAGATGAGAACATCTCTGTGATTTCTTGGGAGAAATGCATATCGAAGGAGCAAAGTCCCTCTGGCCGAGCCAGCTGATATGAAACTGACATTGTGATTTAGGGAAGGGAACTTCCGTTAGTGTGTATCTTCAAAGGGGGAGGGGGGACATCACTTTGGATGCCCTGTAAATGTTTTGCCTTCACCGATGGAGGTTGAACTGCGCAGCCTGCCCTTTTCGCTAGCTAGAGTTTCAGCGCGTTTTCGAAAATTTGTTTTTTATTTTCATATATTCACGATAGGGCGGGGATTAACCTTGATTGCAAGGATACTTTTATCTAAGGACGCTAAATATTTCAGCATCATAGTGGGAACTGTGAAAAAAGCTTGCTTCAAGACTTTTATTATCTGTCCATCCAGTATAACTCTTGGGTAAATACAACATATAATCAATAATTTACCCACTATGCTAGGATTCGTTCAAAAAACAACTGATAAATAACCCAAGTTCATAAAGGTTTGCATCATAATAAAAGTGTCTTTGTGTGCCAAAAAACTTGTTTTCCTTTGTTTTCTGTGAGTGATTACCAGGATTCTGGAAAACATTCAAAAATAGCTGCAACTAAAATCGTTAAAATTTGGGGGAATACCTAGGTATTGCCAACTTTGTTTCTTTAAGGACGATCTTATTCTCAATCCATTTAATAAAGCTAACTCCTGGTTAAAGTATATAAGATTCATAGTCAATGGAAAATTTTACTTTCAGATACCTAACCATGCATAGGAGTCCTCACAGTTAATGAATGTAATAATTAATCAGCTCTGCAAATTCTTTTGAGGAATATTAATAACACTAAAAGTATAATTATGATTGTAAAACAGCAATTTAAATTTTTAAAAGTCCCCAATTCTATCTACTGCTCAAGATGATGCTAGTCTGGTCCAAACATATGTTAGAAGTAATTATTTAATGTCCTTAATTATGCAATCTCTAGTCCCTCTTGAATATTTTGAAGAAAACTGAATCTTCTTAATAAATTTATATAAAGTGTGGATGAACTTTTAAGTACTATGCTCCTTACTTAACAATGCTAGGCCACTTTAGCATTAATTATTTTACCACAAAGTATCTATATATATATTTCTGTTTACTTTTCAAGTCCACATTTGCATATCTAAAATTTGGATATGCAGTTTTACTAATTTAACTTTAATTTCTTTGAAAATTAAATTAATATATAAATACAACTTAATACTTCCTTATTTGGTTTTTTTTTATTAGACCTAGCTATTACTACACTTAAATGTAGCAAGCCTCTGTTTTTATGCATGGACTCTGAAACAAAATGATCTGTGTGAAAAGCAACATCTATAACCATATAAAAGGATTATATCAGACTAGATAGAAATTCATATTTAGCTTCCAATGTTTATTTTGAGAAGAGTTTTCATAATCAGTGAAGAAAAAATCCAAATATTAGGGGTTTCTTGTGTGACTGCTTGTATGTTTAATATTTGTAAAAACAACAACAATGGTGGTTTGGGCAATACACTGCAAGACCTATTGCCAACAATGTTTTAGTATTCATAATAATGACATCTGATATATAGATACTCAACAATTGTAATCAAAAGACTACATATATAATACATATTGTAGAACATTATTATTAGATCTATGCAAAAGGGTAGTAATGCAAAACTGATGCCAAAATAATATATAAAGCAATCAATTATTTATAAAATCCTAGTAATATACTTATATCAAGTATCAACAACAGAAAAAAAGTATATGGTGCAAGTTATTGTTTTGGTTTTTAGAGTAACATATGTGAAATGTACAGTATTATTAAAAAAAATAAAGCATTTTTAGTGGCAATATATTCATTCACACTATATCAGCAGTTACTGATCAGTAGTATCTCCTGGCTAATCCATAGAACAACTTATTCCCCAAAATATTTAAACTTTCTGTGCCTGCAAAATAAACTTTTTTTTTTAAATCACAATAGCATATTTCTATAACTCCTGCTGTTATAATCAGGTAAATATAATGGTACTATATGGCACAATTATTCATTTCTAATAAAAATTGCCAAATGGCTTTGCTGGCTGGTTAATGTATAGTATATTTTCATAATTGTCTGATAGTTTGTCTACAATAACTTTTTTTATTTCTTCAAAATACCACTTTGTGTTGGATTTACATTTGTTTGTAGTTTATTCTAGTGAAACTCACATATGATACAAATAGGTTCAGTATACTTCTTGGCTGATTTTTCTGATCCTTCAGTCTGTCTTGATTGCTGGTGACAACCTGGAAAAGTGCATGCAATTTTCCTGGCCACATTTTTTTTTTTTTTTTGAAATGGTTTGGTATTGTCTTTTTCTTGTTAAGAGAAAGTGACTGATCCTGCTGCCTGCTAATAGTAGTTAATTCCAAGTACCTTCTATAAGCAAGGTGCCTAGAAATGAAAGCGATAGTTATTATATAACATATGTATGTAGCATCCTATAGACCATAGAATATTTTTAGTTTCTTCTCAGGCAGATCAGAGACAAGATTCGAATCAAGAGGAAGGGCACAGAATTAGATTACCTTCTACGTCTGCTTATGTCATTTTTCAATGTCTGAAAATCTCAACCTAAGAAATACCAGAAGGGTATCTTCCAAATCTATTTTAGTTCTCCCATTAGCTTACAAAAAGCAGTAGAAATTTGGATGAGTGATACAGAAATATTAAAAATTGGAAGAAAAAGAGGAAGTAAATCTAGATGGATAGAAATGCTAACATTTATTTTCATCTTCATCTTTGCTCTAAACTGTAACTAGCAGGACACTGATGTCAGAGTATTTTATATTGAGAATGCTGAGCCCTTAGTACAGGCTTTTTTTAACTAGCATTATAGAATCACAAGATACTGTACATAAATTGGAACTCATTATAATATACAAGGAAACAAAAACTGTAATATGATTAACCAATGTTTAAACTATGAGGCTGTATTTAATACAATCTCTATGGAAGGTGCTAAGATTG